TTTTTTTTTTTTTTTTTTTTTTTTTAAAGTATATGACCCAGAACTGGAGACATGCTTCAGGTGAGGTCTGTACAAAACCCTACGAAGAGGGTGGTAGCAAAGACAGACGTAACATTGGCCATCAGAGAGCAAGAGTAAGCACACACGCAGTTTCAGGAGGGAAATCCAAATTGACAAGAAAAAGTACTGCCGTATTTAAAAAAAAAACAAAAAAACCCCCCAAAAAACCCAACCTCTTTTTTTGTGTTGAAAAGCACAGCAAAAGGGACTCCCAAAATATCTATGAGCAGAAATTTCCTCAATGTACAACGCAACTTGCATGAAAGAGCATCTCCATTGGGCAATTTTATATTTAAAGCAATCTTGTAAAGTATCATCGAGGTTTCCAAGGCAGTTTTATTCCTCTTTAGCTAAGAGGAATGAAGATGATCTGGATGGTCCCATAAGGCTCATCCTAGAACCAGAGAGGAAAAAAACCCCAAACCCCTGGGTATGATTGAATAGCACAAAACAAGCCTGGTCTAGATACAGATTTCAACATCAGTTTGTTGCTTCATTTACGAGTGATCCACTGAGATCCAAGGGAGCCTCCTGTACTAACCACATAGGAGGAGCTAATTCTGTCTTGCTTCCACTGTGTCCTTTTAAAAGACCCAATTTCTTTCCTTTTGGGAAAGGATGCTCCCAGCTAACACAGCAGTCCCTCTCTCAGTGTACCAAACCCCCAAAACCATATTCCTTTTTGCACTTCAGTTTCCAAAAGATACAGAGGACTTTAAGGAGACACAGAAAAGAACAAAACAATACAGAGAGTTAAAGGAGTATCAGTCGATGAGAGAAGATTATGTGTATCTGGGACAAGCTATGACCAGAATGATGTAAGCTGGCAGAGGTGTTACAGTGGGATAAGTGAGGATAAAAGGATGCAATTAAGAAAGGGAATATTTAGGCTGATGATAGGGGAAAATCTGCCTGTTGGAGAGATTTACTAAGACTACTAAAATCTTGCAAGGGAAATGGACCCTATTTGTGAGATTTAAAAGTAGGCTGGAAAAATGCTAAAAGCGTGTAATAGCTCCCAATTGGCTGGAGGACAGACTGGATGAATGATCTATAAGGTTTCTCCGTGTAGCTAACCATTCCTACAGAGGAACGAGACATTCATTCCTCTACATCTAGGGTTTACATGACGTGAATGTCAACTCCAGAAAGCAAACAAAGCTCATCCTCCTCATCTACTTGATAGGCAACAGTGCCATTCATTGGAAGGAGAGGGGACCATCCCTTAAACTGTCCACTTGATGGAGACAATATCCACATGTTCATTCAGGGAAAGGCTCCAAGAGCATCGTTGCCCATGGAACTAAAATGGATCACACTGAGGAGAAGGCTTGAGATCATCACACTCAGTAAAACAATGGCGCCAAAAGGGAAGAAATTAGACCGTCAAAATATAAGTGTGGCAGGGCTTCTTGCAGCCTTGCATGAAGACAAACCAACCCACAGGCCCTTACAACTCTTCTGTTGGCATAAGAAACACAAGTTTTCTGGGCACTAGTGGTATCCCTGCATTCTCTTTTGAACAAAGCATGGTCAGAAAAAGGAATTTACTTTCCTTCCCATTTGGATTGCCCTTCTTTTTTTGTCTTCTTTATGCACCCTGGTTTCCACGCCAATAGAAAGACATGATGGTTAGAGAACAGTCAACACCTTCTCATTTCTGTCGCTAAAGAAAAGCCCGTCCCTTCAACTGTGCAACGTAGAGGAGAAATGATGACGCGGGACCCACAGGTTTAAAGAGGAGGCCGAGAGATTTCCACACTTTCCTCCCCACCGTTTTATTATTGTTATTACAAATTGTTGTCAGCAAAACTCAGCAGATGATGGGTTTCATTACTGTGGTTCTTGCAAATCCTTCTTTGTGCCTTTCCATCCCCAATTGGTTCATCCTCCAGCTGCCAAGACCTCCGCACGCTCTCAAGGGTGGACTGGGCTGAGAGCCGGGGCATGCACTTTGCTGACGGACCTTACCACCTGCCAGGCAAAACACACCACGCACACAGCTGCCAAAGCAGGGCACCGAGACTCCGTAGCAGAGTTATATAGATTAACCCGACCAACTGCAAGCAAACAAACTACAACAACAACAACAAAAAAGCAGCCTCCAAGTGAGTGTCTAAGGCAGGAATCCCAGGCCGCTCGGTGATTAGGGAATCACATTCCACCACTTGTACGAGAAGGGTTGCCGGTGCACGTTGGTGCCACAGTGGACCTCTCCCAGCATCTTGTGGTAGGAGGAGATGTCATCAATGAAGCTACACCTCAGTCCCAGAGGCTCCAGGAGGGAGCGGACATGCTCTTCCAAGCAACATTCTCCCTCGATGATGGGCCCAAATGGCTTCGGGACCCCCAGGTCTCGAGACAACACAATCATGTTCACCTGTGCAGGGGGCAATGAGACATGGGGTTACGGCCTGGGGGAGCTCAGGCCAAGTCATGCATGGGGTTTGGAGTGCATCTTAATTTTTCCAACTATTTAGTTGGTCTAATAAAAGATATGGGATTGACCCAAAGAACCTTGTCTGCCTATGTCCTTAGACCCGCACGGCTACAACCGACACTTCCTTATCACTTAAAATTAAAGTGCTAATGAGAGGCAGGAAATGGAGGTAAGACTGGCATTTGCTATTCCACACTCTCCACGGCAAGCAGACAGTTGAAAAGAGCTGCCCCTGGCTGACATTACTCTTATTCTTTGGAGACTGAGTTGCTTTGCTCTGATGGCTGGGAGCAGTTCAAGGTGCTGCTCTACTTTTAGGAAGGCTCTTTATTGTTCAGGTCACAGGTACTTCATGGTCATGACCCACAGACTCATGTTCTGCTGTCCCCTGACAGATCATGGGGTCTTACACTCCTAGGGAAGCGGGGCTGGAAGGGACCTCCAGAGATCATTTTGTCCAACCCAGTTGCTGCTGTCAGGTGTCCCAGGGCTGACCCTAAGCCAAGCTCTCCCAGGGTAGGGCTGTTTCTCACCATGTTGGGGAAGTATGCCATGGCTTTGCCATTCCTGTCTATCTTGAAGAGAGCTGGGAGGTCGATGATGTCTTTTTCTTTGAGCCCCAGCTCCTTCTTGAGGATGTCTCTGTTCCAGTCAATGCAGCGCTGGGACACAGGGAAGGGAAACAACCACAGACTTAATACAGCTGAGCATGAGACAGTCAAACAGGTCTACAATGCAGTGTCATGCATTACATGATCACAGAAAACCTTAGCTTCCACCCATCTCTGCTTCCTTCTCCCTGGCCCTCCTAGTATAATGAAGGTGCCAATGTATTTGCAATGCAAAACCTCACAAGTTATTCCAGCAATGGGGCTAACATGGGAAATTGGCAAGCAGCTGGCACCCAGGATCATCATATTGCTCTTCCCCTTCTGCTTTCAAAGCAGGTAGGAAGACCTCTCCTAATCTAGCACATTCCTTCAATACATTCTGCTACCTGAGCAGGAAGGAGGCCTAAAATAAAACTCATGTCCCATTTCTCAGAAGTCCCTGTGATTAATTGTCCTGCAACCTTATAGCCCCAACCTGCTGTGCCCTGTAGTAAGATAGGGAGCGTGTGTAGGAGAGGAAATGAAGGAAAGGCATGGGCGATGAGGAAGGAGGACTATTGTCTAATGAGATTTATGGCCTGTGTTTCTCCTACCGCATGGGCACACGGCGGTCACAGCTACTTCACCATTGCTTCCTGGTCCCATACAGACCTGGCCGTGGCAGTCAGTGCTAATGGTTCAAATATTTGCTGTAGGCTTCAGGCAGGTTTTGCAGATGCAAGACCAGGTATTGTTGGGAGCTTGAAGAGTCCAGCAGCAGGTGGGCGAGTGGGCCACGAGCCATGGGCATGGCCTGGGGAGGGATGTTGAGATGGATGTCGAGGGGTGCCTCGCCTTCCTCCTTTCTCCTCCCACTTCTGACCTGGTACTGCTGCTCTACCTTCTCTGCTGCCCCAGCCCGACCAGGAAGGTGCAGGGCCGGGGGGTTGCAGCACTGGCCCAGATGCAATACTGCAAGATTCACTTCCTTCACTCCTTCGTCCTACCTGCAGCGTCCCTCCTCCAGGTGCAATGCTTCCTTGTAGCCCAGCTCCCCTGCCTCCACCATGCTGTTAGCCCTGGTTTGTCACAGATCCCCCGTGCTTCCACCAGCTATTATTCTTGTGGCACATATTAGCTCCACTACTCAGTGCCATCTCTCTGTGCTCTCCAGCAGCAGTCAAGGGGTCAAGGCCCATGCCTAACCCTCTGTAGCTCTTACCTGCACATAATGGCTCTCTTCCATCATGACTTCATTGGAGAGGACCTTGTTAATAGTGACCCGTTTTGTGTCTGTTCCTGAGTAACCTGTATGCAGGAAACAAAGCCACCCATCAGCTTAATGAAATAGCACCCAAAGACGGCACTTTGCAATGAAATGAGGGAGCAGCGGTACCATGGCCCTTGATCCAAGTAGCTGGGATCAGACACCCCTGGATTCAACACCCCCCCCCCAAGC